TAACCTCTTGGATTTGTTACTCAAGGGGAGTCAGGGAGAGTTTGCAAATTGAGGAAGTCCCATACCACCTGCTTGGTTTGGGAGATTTAGTGACATAGCTCTTGAATTTGGCCTAAGAAGAAGTGCTTATGATTACTTTGTTTTCTACCAAGAGTCTGATTCAAGATATATGGTTCTTCAAATATACGTGGATGACCTTGTGATTACCGGAAGTGATAAACAGGAATGGATGCAATTAGGGGCTTTTTCCATACCAAATTTCAGAGAAATGATCTGGACTCTAAAATTCTTCCTAGGCATTGAACTCTCTAGAAGTAAGAAAGGAATTTTTCTTTCTCAAAGAAAGTACATTTTGGATTCACTTGTCAAAACAGGTATGACTAATGCTAAATCTTGTGATACTCCTGTGGTACCAAATGAGAAACTTGGTCTTGGAGATGGAGAGCTACTTGATCATTAAGAGAGATATCAGAGATCGGATGTAAAGTTATACTATTTTATTTTGACACATCTTTACATTGCATCCTATGAGATAACAAGTCAATTGAAGCAACATAGAGAACCTTGCATTGGGAAGCTGTTCTTCATATTCTAAAATACCTTAAGGGTGCTTCAGGACATGGCATTCTTTATAGTGATCACGGCCATAATAGAATGGAGGGGATCTCGGATGTTGACTAGGCTGGATCTCCAGTAAATTGGTGATCTAGTACAAGCTATTGTGTCTTTGTTGGAGGGAATTTAGTTTCATGGAAGAGTAAGAAGCAAAATATGGTTATCCCGTCCAATGTCGAGTCTGCATACTGAGCCATGGCTCAAGCTACTTGTGAACTTATGTGGCTCTATCATCTTTTTAAAGAGATTGGGCTAGAAAAGTCTCAATCCATGCACTTGTGGCTAGATAATCAAGCAGCCATTCACATTGCCACAAATCCGGTATTCCATGAAAGGACAAAGCATATAGAAGTTGACTATCATTTTGTTCAAGAAAAACTCTAGCAATGACTTTTCTCTGCTAAACATGTTCATACTAAAGAACATGTTAGTAGATGTATTCACTAAAGCATTAGTTGGAAATAGAGTTAATTATATTTGCAACAAGCTAGGCATTCATGATACTTGAGCTACAGCTTGAAAGGGAATGTTATGAGTCTTAGTTACAGTTGTTAATGGTATTTTAGTAATTCTATGTTGTACATTTGCTCATAGTATATAAAGTGTGTCTGACCTGCTGTCTAGGGTTAAGGCTTTCTAATCATTGTTTATTCTTCTTTCTTTCTCTTCTTTGATTACACTAACCATACCTGGGTTTATACAATTGTTGATTTTGCATGCTCTAGAATCATGAAAACACTGAAAAGCTTAAATTATGCATACTATTAAATTAACCATGAGAACATAAGCATATTAAATTTGCAAGGTGGTGCATTATTAGTTTTGAGAAGAAATATGAAAACCGAAGAAATTTCCAGCATTTATTGTGAAAAGCGAAGAAATTTACATTTGAAGCTGTAGAGCACAATTGAGGCTGTCGTACAATGTATATTTGATCCCCGTGACTATTTTCTTTATAGATATCTTGATTCCTGTGCCAAGTCCACAATGCATACGTGGAATTCACAACCTGCATTAGAAAATGAATCAATAAAACTAACATAAGGTCATAATAAAAATATAGGAAGCTGCTGCATCTAAATTTGAGAAGCTACATTTGGCAATGACTCCCAAATAGTTTCCTGAATGGAGGCTAATTGGAGGAAAAACATCAAATGGTCCAGAAATTAAAGTAAGCAATAGAGCTTTCATACAAAAAAAAAAAAATGACATAGGCATGTGATTATCCCAAATAGGAAGACTAGAATATTTGATTAACCTATAGGCCTACAGAGTGCATGTTCCACACGGCACTTCTCATTCCTAGATTCACCCACAAAAAATCAATTTCATGTAGTGACATAGATGTGCACACAAAGAATCAATTAATCAATCAACCAAGCCTTGCTCCAACTTTGATAGGAAACCAAGTCAAATCAAAAGGCCTATTCATCATTCATTCAGTATCAATTACTGCCGTCGTATATCATGGTGAAATTGTAAACCTATTATGTTAGGATCTTATGCACCATTTGAATCTTATAGACAAGCACTAAAACATGTGACAATAACAGATAACTTTGGGCTCACATCACACATCAATTTACCAATTAATCAAGTACTGCAAGTTATCTGAATGTTTCTGCTGGAAATAATTTTAGTTGTATTAGAATGTTAGAGTTTAGGTTACTGGTTGCAACATCCGGTCAGAACCCTAGAATGCCCTCTTCCATCTTATGCTGTCGTTGGAACCCTACTCAGAACACCTATCTTGCCTTTATCTCTGGTCGACGAAGTCCGACCATCTTATCCTCGTTGGAACCCTGGTCCAGAACTCCTGTCTTGCCTTTGTCTCTAGTTGACAAAGTCCAACGAGCTCCAATGATGTCCGACTAAGCTAGACGATATCCGATGAAGCCAAACGAGGTCTGATGACATCTACTCTCTGTCTCAACTTCGTCTTTGGTGCTTCTCCCTCGTATCTGCTTTAGCGTCTGGGTGACGGAGTCCAGCAAGGTTTGGCGAGGTCCGACAAAGTTAGCAAAGGTCCGACGAGACTTCTTTGACAAGTTCATTCTCGTTTCTGGCCAACGAGTTTTGTTTGCTTGTCTCTGGTTTGTGTCTCGAGTCTAGTTCGGCTGGTTGCTTCCTGCTTCCTCTAGTTGATCTATACAAAACTTTGGTTACCCTCCAACCAGCCTCAATCCATTCTCTTAACTTTATGTCGAAATGGCTTCCAATGATTCTTTAGAATCTGGTCCTGACAATCAAGAAACTCCTCAAGCCTTTACTTCTACAACATCTTTTATTGTCAATGTACCTATCACTTATGCTTTTTCTGGGAGCCCAACAATCATCTCACAAAAGCTGAATGGAAAAAACTAACTAGCTTGCTCATCTTCTGTAGAACTTTGGTTTCTTGGTCAAGGTCTCTTTGATCACTTGGAGAAACCTACTGATGAAATTCCTAAGCAAGATTGGAGCCAGTGGAAAAAAAAAATGACTATCAACTGTGTGCTTTGTTGTGACAAATCTGTTGAACCATCAATTCTAGTAAACTTTAGAGCCTTCATGACTTGTTATGCATTTTGGAAGAAACCTAAAAGTGTATTTGCAAATGATATTCAACAATTGTATGATTCAGCCCAAAATTAGTCCCTCTTAAGCAATCTGATCATATGATATGACATCCTTTGCTACCAAAGCACAGTCAGCAGTGAAAGAGCTAAAAATGTCTTTGCAAGCTGACTCACTTGAAGGCTTAATGGAAAAGTTAGATAATCTGCATTTTGTATCGGTTCTTTGGGCAATTCACCCAGATTTTGAACAGGTCCACGATCAGATTCTGTCCAGCCAAGTGGTTCCTATGATGGATAACTTAATTACACGTCTCCTCCAGATTCCTTCTCCAAAGGAACTGATGGTGTAGTTGAATCTACTGAGGCATCCGCAATGCAGTCAAACTCAATATATCATAGTGGACATGGAGGTCGAATTCGATGTGGTAGTCGTCCTCAATGTACCTAATGTAAGAGAATGAGGCGCAATCAAGACACTTGTTATCCACTCCATGGTGAAATCTATCAATTCCCAATCTGTTTCTCAATCTGAATGCCCTGAAATTAAGTTTTCAGAAGTTGAGTACCAGGTGTACCTCAATTGGAAGTCCAACAAACAAACGCAATCCACTATAGCTACGGCATCACATACTGGTTACGCAACAGTTTGTTTCTCCCATTCTAGTAACAATTCTTGGATAATTGACTCTGATGCATCTGATCATGTTGCTGGTAATGATTCGTTGTTATCTTCTTCATCTGTTCCTAAGGTTCCACATTTTATCAATTTAGCAGATGGTTCTAGAGTTGTTAACAAAGGAGTCATTCATGTTTCACTCACATCACCTATGTCCTTAAGATTTGTTTTGTTCTTACCTAGATGTCCTTTCAATCTAATTTCCCTTAATCAACCTACTAAGTCTCTCAATTATTCAATGACTTTCAATGCTGACTCTTTTCTTATACAGGATCGTGGTACAGGACAGATGATTAGAGTAGAACATGAATTATGTGGACTCTATCATCTCCAATCACCGTCCATGGTTTGTGCTGCATCTAAATCTCGTGAACTCCTTCATGAACGTTTAGGGCACCCAAGTTTGTCAAAGCTTCAGCAGATGGTTCCAAGTCTTTTGGGGGGAAAAACACTATGGAGTGTGAATCTTGTCAGCTTGGAAAGCATGTTCGAGCATCTTTCCCAAGTCAAGTTAATAGGGCAGTCGAGTCTTTTGCAGTTATTCACTCTGATGTATAGGGACCAAGTCTTGTTTCCACCCCATTAGGTTATAGGTACTTTGTCACTTTCGTTGATGAATATTTTCGATGTACTTGGGTATATTTAATAAGAGAACACTCTAAGTTATTTTTGAGTTATTTTCTATATTCAAATACTTTTGTACTGAAATTCAAAATCATTTTGGCAAAACCATTAAAGCACTTCGAAGTAATAATGCAAAAGACTATTTTTTACTGGTTTTTCATCTTATTTGTCTTCTCATGGCATTCTACATCAATCCACTTGTCCTCACACACCCCAACAAAATGAGATAGCAAAACGAAAAAATTGGCACTTAGTTGAAACAACTTGTACTCTTTTGTTACATGCAAATGTGCTTATTCGTTCTATTATGAACAAGATGTAGAATGATAATGATTTTTCTTGAAGAGACATTAAAGCTGGTGGCATTATGGATTTAGATGATTAAATCTTCATGACTTGCAATCAAGATGACCTAGTGGGGAGGTCCAATTGTACTTAAGGTCACAGGATGTGACACATTCAAGTATTTTCTTAGTACGTGAATGTTTATTAACAATGCTCAGTACAAAAGTTCTTGGAAATAAAAGCTAGTTTACCTCAAGAATTCCGTGCCCGAAACTGCTTTCCCTATATGCACTCCATTCTGGTTGTCTATCCCAGCAAAACTTGCCTTTTGCAGGTCCAAATGAGAAATTCAAATGGCACAATCCTCCGAATTCTGGTATGTTGTCACCACTTGAGGGACATTTCCCAGGATCATCTGCATGGTCAACATCAACTTTTTCTATGTTCCCACCATCTCCAACTGTTATGTGAACAGGCCCACAAGGATCAAGTGTATAATTGTAGACTCTATTCATCCTCTCATAAGCATGCACCTGGAATGCAAGTAAAATGTGAAATTTTGTTTATTAGAGAGCAAAAGAACTGTAGAAATCCATCATGAGAGACCGTTCCATGTTTAATCTCCCCCATTGATCCATCTTCTACGCAAGCATCATGAAGCATTTTAATTAAATATGCAATAAGATTTCTACAATAAGTATCAAGTTGGAGTCCTAGCATTTATCACTTCCACTTACTAACTTGAACTTTTGCTAGTGTCCCATATCAATCAAAAAATATATAAATTAGTGTAAAAATGCTACTTTGGAAATTGGAAAATTTTCACAGCCCGAAAACCAAGTGGATATGAACTATAAATGTCTTGGATTACATAATTGGTGTTGAAAGTTTAGAAAGATGAGAGACCCTAGGGACAATTCTTCACTTCAATACAGTCTACCTTTATCTGTCTTCATCACCTCCATGTTATGCATGTCTGCTCCCATTATACATCTAGCGCACAATCAGACAACTAGACAAAAGCAGTATAGAAAATTTGGCAGTTATAAGTCCTAATCTTCTTTTCATTCAATTTGGTTGTTATATTCTTTTTCTTCAGTTCACTTTAGATGCTGGAAAAACTCAATCAGTTCAACCTAATCGATTGAATTCATAGCCTATTAATGGCATAAGGCAATTATAGTTGCACCTTTGACGCTGTTTGGCAATTTTGTTGTTATGCAGCGTAGCTCAACAAGACTTGGCATGAAGATACCAAGTGAACATATGGCAGTCCAGTAATTTTAAGGTAGCGAGAGACTTTAAGGTTAGGGTTATAAAACAAAAGAAAACTTGAGCCATTTCAAAACAAAAGCAACTCTTCAGGAGTATTACAGCCTAAACATGTTTTTTAAATTACAAAATTCCAAATTTACTATATTAAGTTCATCATGCTTGTTATTTTCCCTCCTGAGGAAACTTAAGGAAATATACAGGAATAAATTATGGGGTCAATTTGGATTACCATTTTGCAGAGGAAGTAGGCTATGTTTTAGATAATGCATGCATAAAAGACAATTCAATAGGGTTGATTTATTTTCTAGTAACAATGATTATGCCCACTAATCCCTGCCAACTAAGAGCTTGCATTTTGAAACAGAGACAATATAAAACATTCTGTAATCCACTTCAACTTACATGACCAGAGAAGACAATATCAACAGCATGTCGGTACAAAAGTGCTTCCATTTCCTGCCTCATGCATTCAAATTCCTGATAGTGTGAAGAATAGCTGTTATACCAAGGAGAATGCCATGCAGCCACCACCCAAGGGGTTACACTGCGATCTACATTTTGTAGGTCTTTCTTTAACCAAGAATATTGAGCACCTGCAAAAAGAACTAGATGATCAAATATGAATGAAAGTTAATGGCATATAGACATATAAGAAAGAAAGCATCTTTTACCAGTATGATTGTAGTCAACATATGCTCCCAACATGAGAAAATGTACTCCCCCAGCATCAAAAGAGTAGAAAAAATTACTGTTGGAACCAGATTCATCTGAAGGAACAGCAAATCTTGCTTCATAAGATTTGAAAGTCATTCCATCAACTTGAGGCTCAATTTCATGGTTGCCTTCAATAACCATCATAGGAACTCTAGAAATGAGAGGCTCCATAAACCTAGAGTTGAAATTTAATTACATCAGTAAAGGAGTAGACAGGATTCTCACAATTTAAGTCCAGATTTGGAACCCAAACTCAAATAATAGTAGTCCCTTCTATAGATAAATCATGAGAATCAGATTTCATGTCTATAATTTTTTGCGTTTAAACCAATATTCTAACAGTGTCTCCTATTTTTTGGGTCTGTTGCTGTAACAAAATAATCTGGCTGGATGTTAAACCAAACTATTCCATTTACTAATTTAGATTGTTCTCCTCCAATAATTGCTTTTATTGGATTATACCATCAATCATCAAATAATGTGGCAATAATAGGGGTATCTATTCCTTGCCTAAATAAACCTTTTGTACAGATTTGCATCAAACCTTTATGTATGTATCTTATTTCCGGATATATTTCTCTCCATCTTTTGACCTTGTTTTTGTCAGAAATTGTAGTATCAACAAATTCCTTCTGAAGTAGCTTCTGTTGTGTTATTTCCACTAAACCTTTCAAATATTCTTCTTGAAAAGTTTTAAATTTAGAAATTTTATAATTTTTTTCTTTTTTATTTATTTTTGTTTTTCTATATTTTTTAAAATTTCATCAGAAAAGTTTATTTCTTCTCTGTTCACTTCTTTTAGCTTTAAATTCTGTGTTTCAGAACTTGGCATTTCTCTTATCATTTTTCTTGGATTAGGATTATCACTCATCAAAAAAATATATTCTGATTTTTAATATTCATTATAAATCTCTTTTTCATAACATACTTCTAGATGTTTTTCTTCTTAAGTTTTTATTGTTTTCTTTACATTTTTCCCTTTTTAAAGGCATTGTGGTGCTATATGACCTGGCTGATCACATATAAGGCATTTGCACTGTTTATTTGGCCCATAAATTCCTCTTTTTATTTGATTTTTCCTTACATACTGCTTTTTCTTTGAAAATTTCTTTTATTAAATTCTCCATTTAAATTTCCTTTTCTTTCTACTTTTAATTATTCATGCCATTTTACATCCTACCTTCCATCTTCTTTCAAGACCTTGTCACAACACTGTTGTCCATATTTAGACTTAGCAATTTGGTTTTTTTACCTGTTTCCTTGCTTTTTTTTTTTTTTTTTGACATTCTAGTATTATTAGGGCCAGAATATATTTTATTCTATACCCTAGCCTATCCTCAGCCGGCACCTATTTCTTTGGTTTCAAATGATATCCTTTCTCTGCTTCTTCATCCAAAGGATGTGGTAATTTATGGAAACTTTGAGTTACCCAGAATTGAATTTTATTTTCATCTAATTGGTAATGATATTTTCTAGACATTTTCACAAACTTTCCAAAATCAAATATCCTACATAATTCTGAATTAGTTAAAGCATAATTTGCATCTTCATATAGAATTTTTTCTCTTGACTAACTGCAAATTTTTGTTTTATGATTATAGCAAGTCTATTTAACATTTATTTAAATTCTAAGAAACAATTAAAAGAGCTGCCTTTTCAGCTTTCCTTATATCTGTCTTTCCCTATACAGTAACAACTTTAAAACACCTCCTTGTAAGTTTAGCAGGAGAGATATGGTTCACAAGCAGCACGTCCCCATCATGATTGTTTTTTTCCCTTGACCTATGCATCTTATACATGAGAAAAACAGTAAGTGAACCTTGTCCCATCTCACCAAATTTCAAGGTCTCCAACAGACATTACCTCAATGATATTTTATGTTTCCAACAACAGATATTCTATTGCAATAATAAAGATGCAGATGAATAGTAAGTATAGTAAACAAAAACCAAAATAAAATAAACACATTTAGGGAATTCATTTATTAGGTTTGAAAATTGTCATATTGTAAGCACATTGTTACATGCAAAAGTGGTTTTTAAAATTTAAAAGTGTAGATTAAACAGTTCATTACATAGGACCACATCCTACAATTTATGCAACAAGGTTTATTAGGTAACCAAAGGAATGAACCCCAATATCACACGCTGTAGTGGAGATTCAGCCAATAACAATTTGCCTGAGTTTTGATTGGGCAAATACAAAACATAATGAAATAAATCAACACAAGCTCATGTTCCAATGGATTTCTTTTCAAATTACTTACCATCTCCTGACTTGGGGGCTTTTAATCTGTTTATGCAATTCATAGAGTGTTACCTGCTTTTGTAAGGAAGATTGAAGAAGGCCTTCAGTTAATGAATCAAATCCTAACAGAAGATTTTTTATTCCAGGAATTTTGAAGTGAAGGATGGAATATTGGGAAGGATAAGGATAGTCAACCACGTTATCGCTTACATTAGGACAGTGTATTTTACCCATTTTTATTTCCTTTTCTTGTTTTGTTTTCACTTTTCCTTGCAGAAAATGACAATAGTATTTAAAAGTATGATCCTTTGAAAAGGAATGACTGGATACATATTAGTTTACCTGTCATAAATTTGATAATATCTTTTGTCTTTGGCTATTGCATTTTGGTTGTTAGAAAAATGCACTTATATTCTGCATTATAATTTCAGCATAAGAATAGATGAGTTAAATTTGATCTTGGCAGACATGCATATAGCTTGCATTTAAAGTTATTAATAACACTTGCAAAAATTAAAATAAGAATACCCAAGGATTGTTCTTCTTTCAGAGTCCTCTTGGAAGAGCTAAAGTCCATGCTAACCAAAACAATTCCATTCAATCAGCAATGCAATATAGCTGAAGCCACTTAAATAGAATGCAAAGCAACTAATTTTGATAGATACTTGTTCTGTAACTATGTGTTGCTTACTTACAAAACCTCCAAGTTCCAAAAAAATCAGCATCAGACTGAGCAAAAACATATATCAGCTAGAAGGTAAACTCTACTTGCAGAAGATTTCTACAATGCTAACTCCAGAAAAAAGAAAAATGTCAAAGAATTATTTACTGCCAAAGTCTTATTTCATTGACTGACCAGCCTGTGTCTTCACTACTACATTTTTTTGAACTGCTAACATTTTTATGGCAAACCAGCCAGTATTAGATTTTCATAAAAAGGAATAGACTAGTTGCAGCTAGGAGCTTGTTATACACTTACATTTTCAACATGCTCCTTGCTTTGTACATAAACCACATACAGATATTATTGTTTCTTTTGATTGTAGCTTGCCCTATTTTGAGACTAAAATTCCATGGAAAAACTAAATATACAAAGATAATAGAAGGGCAACAACGGTTTCTTTGTCGAAGACAAGTAGAATTTTGATCACTAGATCTAAGCTTTTGACCCAAAATGAAAATGATAACCTAATTACTTTTGACCTCCAGATAACTAAAGCATATATTAAAACTTAGTGTGCAGTTGGTTAGAGATAGTTGCATTGTTTCATATTCAAAATTAATTTAGTTAATGACAATAAACTATCCAAACCACAAATAAAAAGGAATTAATGGAATAATAAGAAATTCAGAGCAATATAGACTCCCCTGCAACTGAAGTTTGAAGGAAGTAAAATCAAATGCCAAGGAAAAAATATATTCCAAAACATAGCAGGTGATAAGACATCTTATGTAAGCTTCTCAAGAACCAACTTAAGGAAAAAATGAAGAGGACAAGGATGAGATTCCCAGCAAGTAGTATAATGATGATAATGAAGCATTAAAAGTATATTTATCAAAATATACTCTAATACCTTCCCCACCCATCCCAACGGGGTTGGTATGACTCTCTAATGGGTGCATTTGGGAATGCACATATAAAGCAAGAAACTGCTGATCCACCAGTTGTGCGGTACTGATTTGCATAAGCCAAGTCTCCAATCATTAGTATCATTGAAGGATCATTTGCTGTAAGATGATCTATTGTGGTTGTTGAATTGCTGGTGAGACCCAAATCTCCAACAACTGCAATTCGACGAGGATACCTATCGGGTCCAGGTAAAGGCATGGTTTCAAAAACTTTCTCGTCACTCATCGCTGGAAAAGCACTATCACCACACTTGTAGTAATATTTTGTTCCAGGTTCAAGACCTTCAATAAAGCTCATACATCCTTAGATCCAAAGAAACAGCTTAAAGAAATTGCACTCAGGAAGGAAAAAAAAAGGAATAAAATGAAATAAAAGTCATAACTATCCATGAAAGACAAGAAATAAATAAGCATAACAAGAACAACTTGCAATAATAAAAACTACATGGCAGGTGTTACTGGCAGTGGCATTCCTTTCATATATGTGGGCATCCAAATGGTAAGAGTCAAATAAATTGGTTTAACTTCTTTACCATCAATTTTCACATGATGAATAATGCCAGAGGTGTAATTCCATAAACCCTCAAAGGGGTATAACTGACTGTAAACCATGGAAAGCCCCTTTCTTTTCATCAAGTACTTCCCACTTTCTTTACCATACCAGACTTCACTGGCAACCGTTGACGGATCAAGGGGAGTGACATTAAGACCAATCTGAGCATCTCCTGAAAAAGTGGAAACCAATTCCAATTCAACAAATATTTCACTCAGACAACCCAACAGACAGAAAAATAGAAAGAATTACAGTGCAACAGCTATAATATATCATTCTTATTCAGCCAATCAAAAAGCAACAAATAGAAAACAATCCCAAGACAACAAATATATTATTCAGCCAATGAAACAAGAAACAAAAGAATAGAAACCTTTACCAGTTAAATAAATATAATAATACATCAATCAGCCATTCCAATTCAATAAACGTATCACTCAGCCAATCAAAAAAGCAAAAAATAGAAAGCAATTCCGGTTCAACAAATATAATATATCATAAGTTTATTAAATGAGCAACAATTAGAAAACAATCCCAATTCAACAATATATAGTTCAATCAATCAAACAAACCAAAAAATAGAACATAACCCAATTAAACCAACATCATATATCATTCAGCAAATTAAACTAGAGATCAATAGAAAACAATATCAATTCAACCAATGTATCATTCAGCGAATCACACAATTGACAAAGAGAAAACAATCCTAATTCGGCAATAATTTTCTGTATTCAGACGGAAAGAATTTCTCGAATTTCATCTAGCAAGGGATCAGAAGCTTGAGCCTTAAGAGAAGCACTTTTTTTCTGGCTAATGAGCTAGGCCTGGAATGTGATTCTCTGGAAATAATTCATCTGATGCAAATGAAGAAATCAGGTCCTGCAAATCTGGAAATGATCATAGCTGACTGTTTGGACTTTCAAAGTGCATTTGGACCATCTCTTTTCCTTTTTATAAAAGATATTGTAATCAAGCCGCATATGATATAGGCAGATGGCTCTTGGAGAGATTGAATTTGCCTTATTTTGGGATGCTCTTCCCATTTGGTGTAAATTCGTACAAATTTATTGACTTTTTGGTAATAAAATTTTCTCTTTTGAGAAAATAAACAAATATAGTATTGTATCACTCTGCCAATTGAACAAACAACAAAGAGAACAAATCCAATTCAACAAAACTACCATTCAGACGGGATGAGCACAAGCCATATTCATAAACTAATGAAAGAGTACTAGTAAGTACCAGTGACCCAAGAAACCCACATTGAAGAGGGCGAAGATATCGCAAGAGCAATCTGCTCAGGGAACATTGAGGTGACATTCTTCTTCAACCTGGGATGATCCATGGGCAAGTCATCACTGCCTCGTCGCAACGATGGATCGAAACTGCGAGTCACAGGTTGAAATGGACCTTCTAAGGTGGTGGGTATGCTTTGCGCATTCGCAGCCACGCCCACTAGAAAAAGAAAAATGACCGAAGCTATACAAGAACAATACAATTCCATGAGCATATCGGCGTTTTAGTTGCTGCTCAAAGAAGAAAAGTTCAGTAGTAAATGGCCATCAACAGTTTTGATTAAATGGGTGGCCGAAGACAACGTTTGTAGTGAGGAGGTGCGTTGCCGTCAAGTTTGATATTCATCAGCGATGCTAGTTTTCGGATGGGACTGCTAAGCTGGAAAATTGGCGAATAGACAAAGATAAGAATATCCAATTCGAACGAAAGATGGTTCCGTTGTTTCGTGACACGGACACGGGTCTCTATGCTTTTCCTTTTTCATTCTTTTTTTTTAGTCCACAGCTCAGTCTGTCTGGCTTGTTATAAATGATATAAATTTTAGTTTTTAAATTTTAGTTTTAATCATAGAAAATAACTGAGATTTTTGCAAATTTTTAAATTTTTTATTATTATTTTGTAAATTAATTTTAAATTATATTTTATTTTATAATAAAAAATATATAAATTATTCATGTCCACAAATAGAAGGCCAAACGGCAAAAAAATCATTTGAAAAAGAATCGTGGCCATTCAAGTGGACCCCTCATTTGGGGTTCAGTTAGAGAATACAATTTTAGGAATCCCAAATTCAAAACAAATATAATTTCAAGGAGCTATTATGATCATATAAAAGAAATTTTCACTCAACTCCCTTAGAAAAGCAAGCAGTTAGTAGTCGGAAGGGTAAATTTGCATGTTGTCAAATAAAATGAGAGTGACCGTGCAAAATCGGAGAAAACAAGTCTTCCTATAATTAAGATAAAACCTGGGGATGTCAATGAAACAATGGGACATAAAAACCTAAGAAAATTTTCTGGCAAGGATATACTTCTTTACTCTTGATGTCATTGTACAGAGAATCTCCTCAAATAATAAATATTTATGGATTTTTTTACAAAAATAAGAAAAATTTTATTGAATGAAAATAATGTTTTAAAATTTAGATCAATAATGAAACGATAAAACTTCTGTTCATAATTTAACTAATTTAAGCAGCTTGACTACCTTAAAACTATGTGATAATAAAAAGTTTAAAAATAAATAAGATTAATAAATGCATATTTAACTATAAAATTGACAATATTCTCTATTTCACGAAGAGTAAAATATATTTAGACTAAATTAGTTTTAAAAAAAATTTTAAATATAATTAATAAATATATTATTTTAAACTAGTAAAAATCAATTGATTTTATAGATTATTTACTAATTTTAGCTTATTAACTTTTAATTTTAATTAAGGAGTCTTGTTTGAATCTTTTTTAGGTCAGGTCATGGCTGAATTGAATAAACTAACTAGTTTAGCTAAAGTTTTAAAATATTAATAAAAAAAATGCTGTGCATCACGGATTGATTGCCATCTCTTGTTTCTTTTTGCCTACAGTCAAAAAAAAAAACAAAGGAACATTTAAAAAAAAAAGAAAAAGAAAAAGAAAAAGTCAATATCCATTCTATTTCTTTTTACTTTTTAAACATCCTTCTAGTTTAATTAATACGAAACAAACTTTAAGACAAGAGCCCATTAGAATTTGATGACATAATTGAGTATATTTCTTAGGATAAGAGTAATTTTACATTTTACAAAAAACACTCTGTTCTTCTTCTCTCTTGATGCTCTGCAAGTTTAGTGATACATATATTTGTAGGCAACTAGCAAAAACTCTCCAATCTGCCAAGGATCCTCCCAATTCTTACACTACAAGAAATTAGTTGATTTGTAATAGACAATTTTCATCCAATAAAAAGTATGAATTTCTATTGAAAATAAGCATTTTTGACGAAAAATCGTGACAGACAAATGTCTATTATGATTTGTAATTTCTGACGGTTTTCATGAGCCATCGACAATTTTTAATAGATTATTCTGTCAGAAATGAAAATTTTTCTATCAAAAACATGTCTTGTCCATTTGAAAATGGGACCGTCGGATGGTGGCATTTGCAATGAACCAATAGCCATCCCCGACAGCTATGGCCATTTGTTGAAATTTTATAATTTATTTTTATTTGATTTTTTTCAACGGAAATTTCGTTAGAATCCATTTGGAATTTAATGAAAATTTGTTTTTTAAAAATATTTGGTGGCAGACCTCAACGAAACTCCTTTTTTTTTTGGGGGGGGGGGGGGAGAACGCAACAAAAAGGTAAACAACTCCCTAGGCTGTAGTAGAGCTGGCAAAAATCCTAGGGGAAAGGAACCTTGGGCTTGGGCAGGCAAAAGAGTGAGGGCTCACCATGGGTGGCTTTTACTTCATCTTACTTAGATGGTAGGAGAGTAGTGTCAAGTGCACTAGGGTTAAAGCCTCACTCGTACCCAAATTCATCTACAAAAGCAACAAAGAATTCTGAATTTAAGCAAAACCCTGCTCGCATCAAGCATGATCTTAGAAACCCTACTCACATCAAGCACAAATTTCACAAAACATCAGAATAGGGAAAAGAAGCGAAAAGAAAGAAAGAAGAAGAAAAAGAAGAAGTGGCAACTTACATTGCCAACAGGAGAAAAGCACAATGTGTTCACAATTGGAAAAGACCCAAGGCACCGGAGAAGAAGATGCAATACAGAGTTGGTTTTTGAAGGAGATAAGAGAAGAATGGCACCAATTTGGGGCTAAATAAGTAACTTTTGTTGAAAAATATTTTGCTAGATTTCAAAATTCCACCCAAACGTTTGACAGTCTTTTTTTTGTCAAAAATTGTGTCAAAAAATATTTCACCCAAATTTGAAATGTCCACCCAAATTTCCTATGTTTGGAGACATTCAGAAATTTAATTTTTTTTTGACAAAATTATATTTTCATGTTTTGGACAAATAGTATCCATTGAAAATTCTATAAGAAATTCTTGTCCAAATTTCAAAATGTCCATCCAAATTTTCAATAGACAAAGAGTGTTGGAAATTTAATTTTTAAAAAAATATTTTTTAGCATTCTTGACAAACAATGTTTATTGGAAAGGGTTTCACACTATTTTAGCCTCTTTTTTTTTGGGTTTTTCCATTGAAAATATTGTTGGAATTTTCCGACTGATACATGTTTGTGAAAATGTGTTCATCGAAAATCTCAAAATTTCTATTAGGGTTATCTCTAAACGATGGATGACAATCATCTGATATGATTAACTCTATCTATTTCCAATTTAATCCTAATCCTACTATAAGCTACACAAGTTCATGATAATACATTTAAGTTCCTCTTATTTTTATCTTCTTCATCATTTTCCCCCACTGCTTGAAGCTTTATCTCCTCCATTGGTCGATTTTATCTACTATGAGGGACTCAATCAACTTCCTGTGTTAAATTCTATCTTGTACAAGGATTCTAAGTGCTCAATGTTTCTTCTAGTCTTCGTCTCCTTCAGGTCTGATGGAAGCCCAAAAGAGACCTCCTCATGGAGGCTCTAATCAACTTTTTCGAATATTAATCCTCACCCTTTCTACATTGTCAATGGCAACATCAACCTTTGGCCCCATTGGTGTCCTTGCGGGCTTGACAAGAACCCTAAAGCTTTTGGAAAGCTTTGTCTTGTGTCAAACTTGAAATGGTTGCAACTCAGCTCTGTCTCTTGCTCAACCAACCTAGCCTGACAACCCAAATCCAACCCATCAACTTCGGCCTACTTCGTTAGCCCACTCTAATAGCTTGCTCCAGCTAGGCTTGATCCAATTGACTTGCCTAGTTTGGGTTTGATGCAATAGAGGGGGACCCTAGTCTTAGGGCACACCCCTTCTATTGTCATTCCTAGGAGTTTTAAAAATTGAATTAAATCGACTGGACCGATCCAATTTAAACAAAACTGATCAAAACTTGATTAAATTTCAAAGAAATCAGTTTAATTCAATTTTTTAAAATATTAAAATTGATTTGTTTGGTTCAGTTCAGTTGTAGGTTTTTTCAAAAAATAACTAAATCAAACTAAACCAATTACATATATATAATTTTATTATATTTATTATAATAAATGTCATTTAATATATATAATAATATTATTTAATAATATTATATATATAGTTCAAAAAAATTATCTAAATCCTCATTCTTAGGTGCTACCCTAATTGATTTTTAATTATATTTAGAATATTTGATATTAAAATTTATTGACATTGTATAAAACTAGAATAATTTTGTCATATTTTCAACAAGTTTTTTTCTTTATTCAATTAATATATTTTAATTCATTTTTATCTTTAAAAAATCTTCAAAACCGATCATATCAAAGTAAATTAAATTGATATAATCATATCTAATTTAGTTCAATTATGAGATATCTAAAAACCAATCATGTCCAATGTCATTGAAAACTAACATATTTAGTTTGGTTTAAATAATGTATAAAACCCAAATTGAACCCATCAATAGTCATCCCTCCATTAGTATGGAAACAATGAATTTATGTACTTTAGAAAAAATTAAAAATTATTTTCGTAGACAAAAAATTTATAAAATATTGAAATGTAGTTGGCCTGGGATAATTGTATTAAACATGCACAAGAGAAGATTATATTTATTGAAAAGATGAGGGAAGAATATATATTGAGAGAAATAAATAGATTTGGAATTTTATTAAATAAAATTAATTAAATCATATATTATCTAATAACATTTGAACAAATCAGAAAAAAGTTTTGCAAGGAATCAACTATAATTTTTAGATTACATTATGTTTCATACTTTTTGCCATTTACTATAGTTTGAGAACAACTTCCATGTTTAAATTGTACCAATAATTTTACTTCTCATATAATATTATGCCTAACATTACATGATAAGAGATATATCGTCTTGTAAAAAATGAAAACTTAGTCAAAATAGAATTTTTTTTTCAGTTTTCTTTATCTTTCCTTTTATTCAAAATTGTTAGAAGATATATTGATTTATATTTTGATAAATTGAATATTTAAGGTATTTTAATATTATCCAATTTATCTTTAAAGTTAATATATGGAATATTTATAAATTGGTGTAGACATAATATGTGCCTACCTTGTCAAAAATGTTAAGTTTATTAT